AAAGTGGCATCAGTACCATTCAAGGGTGTTAATCTTTTTGGGGCAGGCTTAGATAGATATCTCACAGAAGATGAAGACAAGAAAAAAGTGCTACCATCCAAAAAGAAGGAGGGGAAGCCCTCTAGGCCTTCTCAGTACTTTCGGGATTTTAAGCAGGACGACAGGCAGAATTACAGTAGAGCTTTCAGGGGCAGATGGCAGAACAGTTCCAGAGATACAAGATCGCAGCCCTTTTCAGGGAAGTCAGGTCAAGATTCCAAGGGTTCTAAGAAGGAATCCTCGGCATGACTAGCACGCCATGTTGGAACCTCTATAGAAGGGGAGAGTTCTGCTAAGGTTTTGACACCAGTACCATCGGCTAACAACAATAAGCTAACGAGGAGTATACTCTGCCTTCTATGTGGCACACTGGACAAAGGGGGAAGACAGAGTGGTGCTAGTTCAAACGGGACTGCCCCTGAGTGCCCTGGAACCGGAATTGATGAGGTTCATGTAGCAGTTGGCCAGTGTGTTGAGGACAAACCTTCTGGAATTCCTGCTTTTGATCCAACTTCAGGGACAAGGGGTCTGATTTCAGGAAGTACAATATCGGACGAAGGTCTACAAGTCTCTGGTGAGGGTGGAACAACATATGGCACTACCTCTATTGGCACACCTCCAGGCCTGGACAGTGTGGTTCCTCTTCCTATCGAGGTCCTTCCTCGGGAAACCGAGGTGTCTTCATTGGACAGTGGATCTGTTGGGACGTGGGGGGACACTTCACCTGGGATTGGACATGTTAGAGTTAGCCTGGAACTGGAAAAGCGCCAACTAGAGGACATAGGCTATGAGAAGGGGTGTGTGTGGATACTCTTTTGGCTTCTAGGAAGGGATCCACCAATGGATCATAGTGTCTATAAAGAGGAGTGGAACCCCTCCTATCAGGGGTGGGGGATATCTTGGCTTTTCTGCAAGTGGGTTTGGACAAGGGCTTGAGTTCAAGTACCTTGAAGAGGCAGGTGGCAGCCCTCTCAGCTGTTAAGGAGGCTAAGAAAGGTGTCTCCTTGGGGCAACACCCACACATTAGACGTTTTCTGAAGGGTACTTCACTTCTTAAGCCACCCCAGGTACATAGGTTTCCCACCTGGAACCTAAATTCTGTGTTGAGAGCCCTGTGCCATGCCCCGTTTGAGCCCATGGCATCTTGCCCTCTGAAGGAGCTGACTTTCAAAACAGTCTTTCTGGTAGTGAGTTAAAGGCTCTGTCAGTACACAAAGAACTTTGTATTTTTCATGTTGACAAGGTGGTGCTGAGGCCAGACCCGGCATTCATCCCTAAGGTAAACTCGACCTTTCATAGGTCATAGGAAGTTGTTCTCCCATCGTTTTGCCCGGATCCCAAGCATGAGAGGGAAAAAATATGGCATAGATTAGATGTTCACAGAGCCCTGAGTTTTTATATGGACAGAACTAAGGGATGGAGAAAAACGGAGTCTTTGTTAGTTTCCTTTGGGAAAAAGGCTCAGGGAGAAGCTATCTCCACTTCCACCATTAGTAGGTGGATCAAAGGTTGTATCATTTTGGCCTATAAGGCTTTGGGTCT